AGGGGATGCAGCTATTTACTGTGGAATACTTTATTTTCGCTGGAATTAATTTTCGCTGAAAAGGCTTTTTGGGCGTTCTTTATGGAATTTATTTTCACTGATTTTTGATTAATTGAATGTGAAATATAGGAAAAAAAGTATATTCACTGGATTTTATTTTTACGGAATCATCCCTAAAGCGAAAATAGCGAAAATAAATTCCAAGCGAAAATAAAGTATTCTACAGTAGGAAAAAAAAAAATTTTTTTTTAAATTCCTTCAGAATCAAAACGTGTATTTTGATTACCCCATGTCAATACCAATGCAAGTTACAGCTTAGACACTGTGCACTCTGTACCATTTCAATTGTTTTTTTTTGAAAAAAAAATAACTAAAAAGTTTTCTCCAAATTTAGTCTAAATTTGTGTCTCAGAATAACATAAATTCTGACAAATGTACTAAACAGTAGACATGATGCCACGAGTACAGTCAAAACTCTTCTATAAGTGCTTGTTCAGATTTAAATAATTTTGGATAGACTCTAATATATATAGATTGTACTCTGTACTATGAATCAGTTATCCTGTAAAGATTCAATATTGTTTCAACAGTTGACTGATTGATGTTGGCTGACTGGCGGCCCTTAATTTGTGTGTTTATACCAATTGCATGCATTTTGCTCACACCTTTTTATATTTTTACATTCAATGTAACATTGCCATAACCTTTTCACCACCAGTTCCCTCTTTTCATCACTAATTCACAAAATAGTCTTGTTTATAGTCTGCACTTTTCTTCAGACGATTGAGACAAAAATAGCCAAACTTTTTGAGTAAAAACTGATAGTTAATTAAAAAAACATCTGTTGGCTCTAAAATTAGGGATTATTTCCAGAAATATTGAAGATTATAAAAAGAGTGTAGACATTTGGACGAGAAAGTCAGGTGGTGGAAAGGTTAACACTTAATGTATTACATCTGCAATTGTATTAATTTTCTGTACAAGCAGTATCATATTAGGTGTTTGCAGGATCCTGGCATCATGTACTGTTACACTAGAATTTGTTCCAATTTCCTTGACATGCTTATGCTGTTCTAACATTCTCCATCTTTTTCAGAAAATTCTTCCCATTATGTCTGGATGGTATTCAAGTTTGTTGGTTTGATTGGCATTATTGTTACACTCTCACTGTCTGAGGTAGGTTTGGTCAAAAGTTAAGCAAGTCTAATTTTGCAGGAATTCTTTTTTTGGCATCTTAAGATCACAAACCTCCTCCCCCGACAGACAAACAACTGAGCAATAAGCTGATTCGTAACTATTCTCATGAAGCCATCTCCCTGGTTGCCATCTCCTTGCTTACTATCTACCTAGAAACCTTCTGGTAATCATCTTACTAGGGGAAACATGACCTTTCTGAAAAAATTTTACTGCCAACATTCTCTCCTCCTTTCAATTTTTATGAAAAAAACAGCAATTTGAAGACTAGCTTCTGACTGTCACTTCAGTACATGTATCTTATTCCTAGACAACCATTTTATAAAATGTTGAGGAGTGAGGTGATGACCATAGAGTTTTGTAATTTAGTTCATTACTGATGATCGTAAAGGGTGAAGTAACAACGACAGGTTACCGACCTGAAAAAAATCACTTCATCACCGATACCTTCGATTCTGATGAAAGTTGTCTGTTTATCCCAGAAATACTTGTCTTCCTGTAGTTAACACAATATTACAATAGATTCCCTGTAAAACTTGCAAATATCCGAGAGTGCTCTCTTCTAGTGCTTGTCACAGATTCTACATCTTTTTTGAAATTCAGCTATAGATATCATCATCATAGTGCTATAACTAATTAGCTGAGCTTTGAATGAAATAAACAGTGACTAATGCCATTATTTCAACTAACATGCAATTACTGTAAAAGTGTTAATTATTCACTGAGTTTTAATTTTGCTTATTTCACTGACTGGAAAATGCGCTAACGTAAAACCCAGTGAATATGTAAAATTTAACAAAGAACACATTATCTAAATGATAAAACCGTGAATGTAAAACCCTCTGAATATGCCTGAAATGGTAAATCAGTAAAAATTAGTCATTTTTCAGTATATAACTAAGTATTTTGTCAAACCTATCAGCCTAAATGTAGTGTCTTCTATATTTTGCTCACAATCATGTAAGTCATCTTTACCTTTTTCAATTGTTATTGAATAAAACTAATCTGCATATCATTTTTCTTGGACTCTAGGTATTTTTTTATAACGTATTTGATTGGTGGCCTTTAAAAACACTCTGTGTAACTACAGATGGTAGACTCTATGAATGGTGGTTCCGATGGCAGCTCGACAGATTTGTAAGTATTGTAATTATTTTCAAAACACTCATTGGCATAGTGTATTATATGTAACCATCATAATTTTTGCTGTACTTCCCATGAGACTTTGCAACTTCCTTTTTAACTCCCATGAGAAAATGCAACTTCCTCTTTACCTTCCTTGAGACTTTGCAACTTCCTTTTTACTTCCCATGAAACTTTGCAGCTTCCTTTTTAATTCCCATGAGACTTTGCAACTTCCTTTTTACTTCCCATGAAACTTTGCAGCTTCCTTTTTAATTCCCATGAGACTTTGCAGCTTCCTTTTTAATTCCCATGAGACTTTGCAGCTTCCTTTTTAATTCCCATGAAACTTTGCAGCTTCCTTTTTAATTCCCATGAGACTTTGCAGCTTCCTTTTTAATTCCCATGAGACTTTGCTGCTTCCTTTTTAATTCCCATGAGTCTTTGCAGCTTCCTTTTTAATTCCCATGAGACTTTGCAGCTTCCTTTGTACTTCCCATGAGTCGTTGCAGCTTTCTTTTTAATTCCCATGAGACTTTGCAACTTCCCCTTCTCTTTCCTTGAGACTTTGCTGTGTTCACTTCACTTCCCATGAGTCTTTGCAACTTGCTCTTTGATTCCCATGCATCTGCAAAATCATCTTTAGTTCCCATGAAACTTTGCAACTTCCTTTTTTACTTCCCAGGATTTTTCTAAATTCCTCTTCAAATAAAATTTCTTATTAATGAGTTCAAACATTGTCCATTTATGAATTTGTAACTTTTTTTTTAAAGTTTTCTATTTCTATAATTTTAATTTTATAATTTTCCATTGTCCACAGGTATTCATCAAAATATCTGTGAGGTTTATGTTGTCAAAGATGGCGTAATAAACAACACACATGTTATTGTTATTTTTTGGTTTGTAGATTGTTCCTGTTGGGATGATTTTTGCTTTCCTTTATCTTACTGTGAAGAAATACAAACCTGTTGGTGACGAGGAAAATGTAGATATATGCAGCGGTATTGGATTTCATTTACTCTTATTTCTTGGTTTCTGTTTAGTTTCTGTAAGTACATGCATAGTTTACTTAGATTTGAAAGCGTATTATAGAGTTCAACCCACTGTAAATGGTTGAAAGGATTGTCACCAATTTTGTGAGTCTGTGAAAATGTACCAATGACAATTTCACAGGTACTTTCACAAAATGTAATCCATTAAGTTGTGAAAACGAAAGCGAAAATTAAACCTTTTACAGTGTATATTTACAGGAAGCCATAGTCTGTTAATGAATATCTTTGATTTCTTTATCTGTGTTTGTCTTTTAGTTATGGCAACATTTTAACGGGCTCTAGTGCACCAATAATAAATATGAGATATCATTCATTTGCTCAATAACATGCAAATGAAATAGCATTGGTTAAATGCTACCAACAGACTCTTCATGCTCGTATGCATTACTGTAAAATCTGTATTAGAAGCCGCTTCACTAATTGAAGCCAAACCCTTTTTTAACAATTGAGAACCACAAATTCATCATTTCTCATATGTGTAGATGCTCTAATGGAAACCACACCCCTTCTGTTGCATTGTACCATTTTAATAGAAGCCTTGGCTTTCAATTCAGATTCTTCAGTACTTTGGATTTTTAATGCTTTGTTAGGAATCCAAGAGATGTTTACTACCTGCACAAAGAAATGACAACACTCATAAATACGTCTCTCGCTACTGATCCATTTAATGACATCATACATATTCATAATGTAATAATAATCTGTACTATATCAGTAATGTTGAATGAAATGGTACATCTCATACATCAACTTAAATTTTTGGTTTTCGTAATTTGAGCAAGAAATAATTCTAAATGCGTCTTATTCTCTATATAAAAGCTTTCAAAAAATGTTGGCCTAATTTCAATTTGAATATACATCAGGTATTTCCTCTGTTTGTTGTTTGTTTGTATTTATTCAAGTAAAAGTTTGTTCTTGTAAAATATGATGTGTGATGAGACTTCTAGATTGTTGTCCTTACCTCAAAAAGTGTATTTCAAGTGTGTTTATATTATCAAACTGGTCACTGATATTGTAATAGTTGTTGCATCAAAAATTATGATCGGTTGACTCTAGTTCAAATTTTACCTGGGGGTTGAACATCAAAACGAGTTGACCTCAACTCTGGGTGATTGTGCCATAAACTCAACAGGAAGGGCAATTCAACTGGCTGAGATGTATTTATTCACTAATGTATGCGACTTTGGGGCAACCTTGATTAGACCTGGGCTGATTGCACACAGGCACTATCATAATGCCATTATAAAATGAAGATGGTCACAAAACCTCATCACATAATCCCAAACATGGAAATGGTGTCAAAATATCAGCACTTGTCCTTGCAATTTGCACTTAAAGTGCCTGTGAAATGGCTGCTATTTTCACGCCTAAAATTATCCATTGATACATAAATATTATTATTTTTATGTTTCTAAGCATGAATTATTTTATTTGAGTGAAAAAATGTGTTTTAAACTCAATCTACGGCAACTTTATTTTTGTGTATTTTAAAACGAGGCTCCTCATTAGCTTCTTATTTGCATACAGAAATTCCCCTTGTGACGTCAGAAGGGGAAGTCGCATGGCAGCTTGCATTGCCGATACGTGTAAATAAGGCAAATTTCTTGTGCAGTTTTCTCGTCTTTGACTAAATTTTTACTTATGTACTTGTTCGTCGAGGAGGAATGGACCATAGTGAATACATAGTATCATTTTTTGTTGCATGAGGTTGAGTTAGATGCGAAATATGTCCGTTCTGGTGTAGCTGGTCACCGTGATCGTCACCGGCGCACGTTTGTACACTGTTGCTGGACAAAATAGAATTTGACGTCGGAATTATCTCGTTAGCAGGTTACTAGGCACGTCACTACACTGTTTTATTTCATCGATCGTCTGAGTAAAACTTTCAAAATTAAAATAAAAGAGAACATATTTTGACATTCTAAACATTAGACTATAGTGATCACTATAAAATAATTAAAAAAACGAAAAATCACAGTTACTAATTAAATGACAGCCGCGTGGAAATAAATTGAAATTTTGTTGAAATAGGTGAACGCGTCGGGTCACGACGAGGGCAAGTGCGTTAAAAGCGGCGTTTAATTGGATAACAAAAATAATCGAGATCGACACACATACAGATTCGAGTTAGCGTGATCCATGCCGTGATTGTCATAATTATAACATCATATTAAAACTTTATTTGGTGGAAACACATTGACCAAGCCCGGATTCTTATTTCATAAATTATTACGCAGATCAAGCTGCAAGCATGGAGGTAAAAAAAAGAACAGAGGTGTGAATTCGACATTCAACACCAATCACCAAACAATTCAGAAACTTTTAGCCTTTGAAAATGAAAACAATTAGCAGTGTGTAAGGGCTGTGTAATTTCCTGTTTGTCCGACGCTTCTTTTCGTGTCACTGTCAAAATTATTGCTACCTTTTACTTAACAGGGACTAAATGGTCTCTATAAAACGATAATCAGGATCGCAAAAAAGTCAACTCATTTGAAACACTTGCCGGACGTCTCTCTCTCTTCTGAAATCCGCCTCGGTGATCATGGTCCGAATCTATTTCTTTCAAAAGTGTTGCGCCATGTATATGTTGTCGGCGTTTCTCTTTAAACCTAGTTGTTTTTTTCATGGACGAGGACAGTTTTTCCACAAAAAAAGGAATCTGAGGTTAAGTGGCTTTCTTCCACTGATGTCGCACTTCGAATCGATTAGAACGTGTG